CCAACACCTCTGCCACAGCTCACCCCAGATCTGCCCAGACATCAAAGCCAGCTTCCTACAGTAAGACTCCTCCGAAGAATTTATTCCACTTCAGCCACAAGATCCTCACCTCTGTCTATCCTACAGACCCCGGCCACCGGAAAGAGTGCTCTGCGCCTTTGCTACCCATCTCCACATTTTGTGGTGCCTCTTTAGTTCAGTTAAAAGAAATAAAATTGTATCTTATTTTTTTCCTACCTCTGTCTCCGAATCATTCTGCATGTCTTGGGTCAGGAAACTCCCCTCAGTCATGTCAGAATCTTCCAGCCATACTCCTGACTCTGCAGAACCCCCTTCCCCATCCATCTCCGACACGCTGGCTCTCCACGACCGGACCTTACAAGCCCTCATGGAACAAACTTCGGCCTCTAATTAACGTCTCCTCCGTATGGAAGCCCTGCTTCAAAACCTGCACAGCAGTCAGCCCCCAGTTACGGAACCTCCGGAGCCAGGAGCTCCACCCGGGGCCGTTGCTCAGGAACTCCCAGCTCTCCAACACTTCCGGGCTGCCCCCTCACAGCCTGCCGACACGTTGGAGGGTGAGTCCTCTGAATGCCAGGGTTTCCTGCTTCAGTGCAGGCTAGCCTTCGGACGTTCACCTCATTCATTCACTACAGACTCTGCTCGCATTTCATATGTTGTTGGTCTGCTACGCGGGCGAGCTCTCCGCTGGGCAGAGGCTAGGAGCCATGATGAAACATTTTTAACCGGCTCTTATTCTGAGTTTGTTAAGGATTTTAAACTAACCTTCGGATGTGAGGAGACACCTGGTGACGTGGCACATAAGCTGCTTCATTTATCTCAGGGGCGGAGATCGGTAGCTGAGTTCGCCATAGACTTCCGGACCTACGCGGCTTCCTCGAGCTGGAATGAGGAGGCTCTAAAAGGGGTTTTTTCTAAGGCTTTGTCTGAGAGGATTAAAGACCAACTGGCGTTCTGTGCTGAACCCGCCACTCTAAATGGACTGATCGATCTGGCGATCCGCATTGATAAAAGACACCGGGAGAGACAATCAGGTACTCGTACACCTTCACCTAATTACCCTTCTCAGTCTCCGTCGCAACCTAAAAACCAGAGCCCGAGGGAGGAACCCATGGAGCTGGGTCGTACACATCTGGACCCAGAGGAGAAGCAGCAACGCCGCAGGTCAGGTCTGTGTTTATATTGTGGACTCGCAGGCCATTATGTCTCGAAGTGTCCTTCACTAAAAGACAGGGCCCGTCGTTAGGAACGAGAGTAATGATGGGCAGTATAACCAGTGGAACCTCTCGTAGCATCATTCCCTGTACCGTAATTTCTAGACTTCACGCCCTCGACTGTCACGCCCTTTTAGATTCTGGCTGTGAGCAGTCCCTTATGGACTCTGAGCTGGTGAAACAGTTAGAACTTTCCACTGTGCCTCTATCTACGCCTCTAGCTGTCTCGTCTCTAGATGGTAATTCTCTCACCACAATAACTCACCGCACAGCTCCCCTCACTCTCAGAATATCCGGTAATCACACTGAAGAACTCTCGTTTTTTGTTTTTCCATCACAAAACGCCCCTGTAGTTTTGGGTCATTCCTGGCTCTCAGTCCACAACCCGCACATCAACTGGCAGTCAAACTGCATCGAGACCTGGAGTCCCCGCTGCTCTGAATCGTGCCTCAAGTCCGCACTCCCTTTCTCCACTAGGGACCGCCCGACTACTTCTGTGTCCCCAGACCTCTCAGAAGTTCCCAAATGTTACCATGATCTTGGGAGTGTTTTTAGTAAGGAACATGCAGCCACCCTTCCGCCTCACAGACCATTTGACTGTAGTATTGAGCTACTTCCAGGAGCTCCTCTTCCTACCAGTCGCCTTTACTGCCTCTCCAAACCTGAGCGGGAGTGTATGGAGAAATACATATCCGAAAGTTTGGCTGCTGGACTGATTCGAGCCTCAACCTCCCCTTTTGGAGCGGGGTTTTTCTTTGTCCCCAAGAAGGATGGCACGCTGCGACCGTGTATAGACTACCGGGGACTCAACAACATTTCTGTGAAGAATAAGTATGCCCTGCCTCTCCTGTCATCCACTTTTGAACCCGTGCAGGGCTCCACTGTCTTCACCAAACTAGACCTCAGAAACGCTTACCACCTGGTCAGGATTAAGGAGGGGGATGAGTGGAAGACTGCTTTTAAGACTCCACTTGGACATTATGAATATTTGGTAATGCCTTTTGGTCTGACCAATGCTCCGGCTGTCTTCCAGGCTTTAATCAATTCTGTGCTGGGGGATTATATTAACCGTTTTGTTTCTGTCTACTTAGACGATATCCTGATTTTCTCTAAGAACATTACAGAGCACAAGGAACATGTGAGGGCAGTGCTACAGCGCCTCCTCCAGAACAGATTGTTTGTGAAGGCGGAGAAGTGCGAGTTCCACGTACCCTCTGTCAAGTTCTTGGGCTTCATCCTGGAGAGTGGTCGTTTGAGGGCGGACCCAGAGAAGACCCAGGCCATACTGGACTGGCCCACGCCCACCTCCAGGAAACAACTACAGCGTTTCCTGGGCTTCGCAAATTTTTATCGCCGTTTCATCCGCAACTACAGTCAGGTAGCGGCCCCTCTAACCAGTTTGACGTCTGTTTCTAGACCTTTTGTTTGGACCCCCCAGGCCCAAGACGCCTTTGCCCGACTGAAGCATAGCTTCACCCAGGCTCCTGTCCTTACCCGACCAGACCCCACCAGGCAGTTTACCATGGAGGTAGATGCCTCGGACACTGGGGTGGGTGCTGTGCTGTCCCAGGTAAACCCACACGATAACGCTCTCCATCCCTGTGCTTTCTTTTCCCGGCGGCTGACCCCTGCTGAGAGGAATTATGATGTCGGAGACCGGGAACTCCTCGCTGTCAAGTTGGCTTTGGAGGAATGGAGGCACTGGCTCGAGGGAGCAGAGCTCCCGGTGGTCATCTGGACAGACCATAAGAATCTGGCCTATCTGAAGGACGCCAGAAGACTCAACCCCCGACAGTATCATTGGTCCCTGTTCTTTTCCCGTTTCAACTTTATTATTTCCTACAGACCTGGCTCTAAGAACATCAAGCCTGACGCCCTCTTCCGACAGTTTTCTCCTGACAGAGAACAAGAACCTGGGACCATCATTCCCCCCTCCTGCGTCGTGGGATCCCTGACCTGGGACATCCGTGATAAGGTCCTCCAAGCCCAGAAATCTGACCCAGGCCCAGGTAATGTCCCACATGACCTGCTCTTCGTCCCCAACCAGGTCCGAGGTTTTGTCATCCACTGGGCCCACACCGGACGCTTTTCTATGCATCCAGGAGTGGGACGCACTGTGGCCCTCATCCGGCGCATGTTTTGGTGGCCAACCCTGTACAAGGACGTGAAGGACTATATTGCGGCCTGCCACATCTGCGCCAGGGGTAAGATCTCCAACCAGCCACCTGCTGGTCTTCTCCAGCCTCTTCCTATACCCTCACGACCCTGGTCTCACATTGCCCTGGATTTCGTTACTGGTCTTCCCCCGTCTCATGGGTTTTCTGTGATTTTGTCCATAGTTGATCGTTTTTCTAAGGCCTGCCACTTGGTTCCCCTTAAGTCGCTCCCTTCATCCTCAGTCACTGCCCAACTTTTGGTTAAACATGTGTTCCGCCTTCACGGCATCCCTCAGGACATCCTGTCTGACAGAGGTCCCCAGTTTGTCTCGCAGCTGTGGAAGGAGTTCGCTGCCGCCCTGGGGGCAAGGGTCTCCCTCACATCAGGGTTTCACCCCCAGACTAATGGGCAGTGTGAGCGGTTAAACCAGGAGTTGGAAGCCACCCTGCGTTGTGTCTGTGCCACGAATCCCTCTACCTGGAGCGCCCAACTCCCCTGGGTGGAGTACGCGCACAATGCCCATGTCTCCTCGTCCACAGGCATGTCTCCCTTCGAGACGTCGCTGGGTTTCCAACCTCCCTTGTTCCCCTCAGACCAGGTGCGGTCCGCCTCCTCTGTCCCGCAGTTCCTCCGTGGCGCTCGGCGCGCATGGACTCAGACCGTTGCAGCCCTGGAACGGACGGCCGAGCGCAACAGGAAGGTTGCTGACCGGCACAGACGTCCTGCTCCTCTGTACGCCCCTGGACAGCAGGTCTGGCTGTCCACCAGGGACATTCGCCTGAAGTCCTCCAACCGGAAGCTCTCCCCTCGCTTCATCGGTCCCTACACCATTGCTGCAGTCCCGGGTCCCTCCACTGTTCGTTTGACCCTTCCTTCCTCCCTTAAGATCCACCCTGTTTTTCATGTGTCCCTCGTCAAGCCTGTTGTGTCTAGTCCCCTGTGTCCCTCTCCTGCTCCTCCTCCTCCTCGTTTCTTTGAAGGTGGTCTCGTCTACCCGGTCAGGAGGCTCCTCGACGTTCGTCCCCGGGGACGGGGTCGGCAGTACCTCGTGGACTGGGAGGGTTTCGGTCCCGAGGACAGGTCCTGGGTTCCGGGGTCTTTTATTGTGGACCCCTCTCTCATCGCGGACTTTGAAGCTTCCAGGGCCTCGTCTTCTTCCTCCGCCTCCTCTTCCTCTGCTGGGATGCCAGGGGGCGTCCGTTGAGGGGGGGGGTACTGTCAGGATCTGGGGTGAGTCTGCACATTCAACTAATTACCACCAAGTCGTTGCAGGTGAGCGGTGCCGGAGAGTGGCCAGCTGCGGTGTGTTTCCCATCACCTGCCAGGGTTTATAAGGAGCTGGGAGATCACTTCACCTCGCTGGAAGATTACTCAACTTGGGTAGTTCTGTCTTGCCTTTAGTACAAGCTACAGTTCTTGTCACAGTTTATAGATCGCTACAGTTATTGTTATCTCAGTCCTAGTAGCTACAGATGGTGTTTGTGCTCTTAATGAGCGTAGTAATCATTCGCCCTGCTTTCCTCAGGATCATCTTCAGACCTGCCTCATCCAACCTCAGCCATAATCTGGAACCGTGCTACAGATCTCCCTCCTCCTGGTGAACCCCACCGCTCTCCTCCGCTCACCTCTTGGATCACGCCCCAGTACCAACACCTCTGCCACAGCTCACCCCAGATCTGCCCAGACATCAAAGCCAGCTTCCTACAGTAAGACCCCTCCGAAGAATTTATTCCACTTCAGCCACAAGATCCTCACCTCTGTCTATCCTACAGACCCCGGCCACCGGAAAGAGTGCTCTGCGCCTTTGCTACCCATCTCCACATTTTGTGGTGCCTCTTTAGTTCAGTTAAAAGAAATAAAATTGTATCTTATTTTTTTCCTACCTCTGTCTCCGAATCATTCTGCATGTCTTGGGTCAGGAAACTCCCCTCAGTCATGTCAGTATTATATATAACAAAGTTCTTGTATTGCAAGATTTAACCCCCACATACACACGGCACCGAAACTTTTCAAATATATACATTTAGAAACAAATAAAATGAATTATATATATATATATATATATATATATATATATATATATATATATATATATATATATATATATATATATATATATATAATAAAAACAGGCAGCAGCAACAAAGGATGTATACAAATAAATACAATTATTACAATTCCAAACAGAATTAAAAACACAAGTCTTGAAAAACAAAGTGGACAAAGTTGCAACAATTTGGGCTTTTTAAGCATTGTGTGTTCTTTTGTGTTTTTATTTATTTATTTATTTGTGTGTGTGAAAGGATGTGTTTGGATTAGAGATGACAGTTGAGTGATTTCAAAAGTGTTGCTTTCTGGCTTTCTTTGAAGCAAATTCGTCAATGATGTCATCATATGATATCTCCTCCCCAACTTGGAAGTTAATGCTGATGATGCTGAGGCCAGCTAAACACTCCTGGGACATGGCTGACCTCAGGTAGTTTTTTATTAGTTTAGGTTTTGAAAAGCTCCTCTCTGCTTCAGCCACTGTCATGGGAACTGTAAGTGCAATTCTGAGACCAGTCCAGAGGTTGGGGTAGATCTCGGTGAGATGGTTCTTGTGAAGAAATGTTAAAAGGCCAAGCATGTCCTGTGGTGGCAGGCTGGGGAAATATTTCATCTCTTTCACAAGTTCTTTTCTGTCCCGGTCAGACTTTCCGTTGAACTCCAAAATGGTCCCAAGTGCATCACATTTCTCTGCAAGCTCCTCATCTGAAAGGCTTGGGAAATTTGTCAACACAGCAAATTTCTGTCCCACATCTTCCAGCGTTGTGAATCTCTCAAGACTGGCTGATAAGGCAGCATCCACAGCAACACTGGAGAATGAAACCTCCAGCCTCTTCAGGGCATCACTGATGGGCTCATCAGTGGCTTCATAAGAGTAGTGGCGCTTGGTAGATCTCAACCTTTTCTCTTTCAGCACAACCTCCACATTCATGTCTGCACATGTGTCTCTGACTATTATCTGAGCAGACATAAAGTCAGTTTCCCTATACTGCTCAAGACTTCTGTGCGTATTTCTAAGAAGATTGACTGCAACATCCACTGCCATATTTGGTGACTGCACAAGCTTGCTGACATGCTGAATCTGGAAGAAGATGTCATACCCGACTGCTGTGCAGATACTAAATCTGTGTGAACCAACCTCCTCTGACAAGGACTGGGCTTCTACCTTTGTTTTTGGTTCCTTGGTAGTATCTCTTACCTTGATCAGTGCTTCTCGCACTGCAGCTGCCTTGTACCTGAAAGGTTCGATGCTCTTAATTTTACTCTCCCACCTTGTCGGACCACACCTTCAAGGTGAGATTCACATGGCTTTTAAGAATAGCCCATCTTTGTGTGGAGGCGGAAAATAGTTTGTAGATCTTTTGAAGGATGCCAAAGTAGCTCATGGCATCAACTGAATCATTAGCAGCATCTGAAACCACCAAATTTAGAGTGTGCGCTACACATGGCATAAAAAGAGCTCTGGGGTTTTCTTGTAAGAGCCGAGCTTGTACTCCTTTGTTTTTTCCATGCATGTTGGATCCGTTGTCATACGACTGCCCTCTGCAGTCCTCAAAAGGAATGTCTAATTATTTCAGTTTATCCAAAGTCATGGAAGCCAGATGACTGCCTGTGGACTCAACTGCCTCAAAAAACCCCAGGAAACGTTCTTTCACAAGAGGTGTCTCTTTTACCTCAACAAACCGAATCACAACTGACAGCTGCTCAGTGTTGCTGTTGTCAGGAGTGCAGTCAGGGATAATGGAAAATAACTTTACCTGCTTTATCTCACTTACTATTGTTGAGATGATCTTGTTGCTCAACAACTCAATCAGCTCATTCTGGATTTGATGACCCAGGTAACTGGTGTGACTGGAGGTTCCTCTTTGAATGCGGTTAATGTGTTCCTTCATGATCGGGTCAAACCTGGCCATAAGTTCAACCTCTTTTAAAAAATTTCCATTTGATCGTGTCAAAAGTGCTTCTGTGTGCCCCCTGAGTGCCAAGTTCTGAATTGCCAGTGACTGCACAATAGCAGTAAGACTTGTCAGTACTGCTCTCCATCTCACCCTCTCATCCTCCAAAAGTGCCATCTCCTTTTTATGTATAGTTTCGCCCTTCATTAACCTAACTGTAAGTTCTTTCCAGGTTTTCATGCAGTTAATGTGGTCGGGGCTTTTCTCATGTGAGTTCAGTAAAGAACTTGCATGTGTCCAATCTGCCTGTCCCGAGGTGGTTAACTGGATACTTCTTTTTGAAAACAACTTACAACAGAAACAAACAAGGCTATTGTTGCTAACTGAATACAACATCCAGCTCCTGGCCACCTTCTCACCACTTGTCAAAGTTCTACTGAAATAGTGATGATGACAACACCTGCCATCGCCTTCATTCCTGGAAAATATAAAAGTAGTTGGCACCTTAGTAGGTCCTCTTCGAACTAGCTCTGTGCGTATGCTGTTGGTAATTGGTGATGGCCACTTGGCTGGGTCTGATGAAAGAGACTCATCATCACCTTCAATGGGACTCATTGGTTGATGGGTTTCAGGCTTCTCTATTGACAGAAAACAGAAGCGTAACTCAACACGTTTTGCTATGTGGACCATTTCACATACCGTATTCTATTAAAATACAATATGTGACATTCAAATTTCTCTAATGTTTGCAGGACACAAACACACACACACACACACACACACACACACACACACACACACACACACACACACACACACACACACACACACACACACACTTGTGCAAAACTTACCTGACATATCTTGTTGGGGAGACGTGGCAGCTGGCTGTCCCTCATCAAGTTCACATATACTGGTAGGTCTCACTATTGACAGAAAATGGAAGCATAACTCACCACATTGCTATATGGAACAATTCCCATATTCTGTGAAAATACTATTTAAATGTCTATAGCTAAATGTTTGCTGGACACACACACGTGTGCAAAACCCACCTAAAGTATCTTCCTGGGGAGATGTGGTGCCAGCAGACTGTCCCTCCTCAAGTTCAAATACTGGCCTACTGGTATGAGCAGTGGAGGTAGATGGCTGTTCCTCAGTGGCAGCTGATGTCATCCCAAAATATCTGCGTAGGGCTCCTGATGTTGCAAAAACAAACAATACAATCTTCATGTCACGTCTGTTGCTTCAGCATTTTAATTAACATGTTACAATGAGCATTTAGTTTTCAGCAGTGGTGGAAAGAATTCTGAAAATCTGTACTCAAGTACAAGTACTGTTACACTGATAAAATATTACTCATTTACAAGTAAAAGTACTGGTGTTAGAGAAATACTCAAGTAAAAGTACAAATTATTCATAAAAACCTCAGAGTATTATTTATTTTTAACAGCTGATGTCACCATCACTTCTCCAGACTGGGGCTGCCTGGAAATTGTGTGTTTTCCTTTGCCAAAAGTTAAAACACCAACAATCTATTAATCATTAATAATTAATAAGATACAAAACAAGTGTTTTTCCTTCATTTTTTTTGTCATTTTAAGTTTTTATTTCCTTATTCAGCAAATTTCTCCGGCAGACAAAAAACTAAATGACAAGAGAAGCCACAACTATTGATTAAATATCCATGAATCCATTTTAACTTGTTAAATTCTTCATTCAGAATCAATGAAAGATCAATCATTAACATCCTTTTTTTTTTTTTTGTTTTCCGTCCTCATGACCCGGTTTTCATCGGCTTCTTTGCTATCAAATCACCTTACTTGCTAAACAAATGCAGATATAAGGTTTGGATAAGAATTAAAATTGTACTCAGTACTCAACTATGATTTTAAAAGTAACTTAGTAGATTACATGGCTTAATGAATACAAGTAAAAGTACATATTTGAAAATCAACTCATAAAAGTACAAGTGCCCCAAAAAACTACTTATTAACAGTAATATGAGTATTTGTAATTAATTACTTCCACCTCTGGTTTTCAGTAAAGTAATTAGTTACTGATCATAATCTGTGAACCAAAGTCCGTGTCTAAATGAAAAAGAAGACATTTCCAAACTCTCAATATTATCTAAAATGACTACATTAGAAACTACAGAGTGAAATGTTTTTCTATTTCTCTCTTTTTATCAGCTGCTCAATCTCTGATGATCTCCAACTCTCCCACGCTGCTTCTTGGTCACTGTGAGTTTTTAACATAGCCGCAGTGTGCAGCGCACGTAGTGCAACATGATGACATCATCGACTTGTACAGTACAGATGTGCTGAAAAGCGAGAGTCTCAACTTTCAGCTAAAAAAAGACCGCTCTAGCTATTATAGTTTTTATTTTATGGCAGTTTACAGTTTAAATTGGATCATACTAGCAGGGCACCTCCAGCGGCCCGCTGCCGCTCCGTTTTTCATGGGGTAATAGCTCATTTCCCGATTCCAAAAAGAAAGGCGAATGGCGCGAGAAAGCAGGACAACCTGCATTGGTGATCAATACTAATATCGATGTATTTAAGCAAAATTCTCGAAGACTAATTTTCATTTGATAGCGTTTAGTTATCAGCCTTTCGGTTTTCCACTCTTAGCTTTTCATAAAAGCTCATTTGACAAAGAAAAAGCTAGCGGTTGGAAGTAGTTCTAAATACATGCAACGTAAGAAGCTAGCAAAAGACATTTGAAGGGATCATCATAGCACCATGCAAAACGTAGATTAGAGAGGTTAGTTAATCAGTAAGTTGGGGGATAGGCGGGAAAAATACCAACTAAATAATAAAGACACTCATACCTGCACCTTTTCCTCGTTTCTCCTCCTCTTCTTTTCTTTTTTTTCTAAATTGGGGACCAGATGGCTTCGATCATTTCTTCTCCATTATGTTTGTGAGCGGTGATATGT